CATAATTTAACATGTTAAAGAACTTTGCCAGTTGCCCCTCTTCCAGGCCAGCTCTCTGCTGTGGCCAGGGAGTGCAGTGGAGGATGGCCCAAGTGCTTGGGCCCTGCACCCCATGGGAGACCAGGATAAGTACCTGGCTCCTGCCATCAGATCAGCGCAGTGCACCGGTCGCAGCAGCCATTGGAGGGTGAACCAACGGCAAAGGAAGACCTTTCTCTCTGTCTCTCTCTCTCACTGTCCACTCTGCCTGTCAAAAAAAAAAAAAAGAACTATGAATATATGTATCTGCATTTGTGTGTGTGCATCTGTAGTAATATTAACAGTTTTGCAATTAAATCTAGAAATATTTTCCACTGATATTGTGATGTGTTTGCTAGGAGAAGCTGACAAAAGTAAATTTGTATTTCTAAATGTATTTAGTCGAAAGGTAATCTGTGCCTAACATTTTTTTAAACAAGTTTTTTTTTGTTTTGTTTTGTTTTTTTTTGTTTTTTTTTTTTTTTGACAGGCAGAGTGGACAGTGAGCGACAGAGAGAAAGGTCTTCCTTCTGCCGTTGGTTCACCCTCCAATGGCCGCCGCACCGCGCTGATCCGATGGCAGGAGCCAGGAGCCAGGTGCTTTTCCTGGTCTCCTATGGGGTGCAGGGCCCAAGCACCTGGGCCATCCTCCACTGCACTCCCTGGCCACAGCAGAGGGCTGGCCTGGAAGAGGGGCAACCGGGACAGAATCCAGCGCCCCAACCGGGACTAGAACCCGGTGTGCTGGCGCCGCTAGGCGGAGGATTAGCCTAGTGAGCCGCGGCGCCGGCCATGTGCCTAACATTTTTATACATTCTGCATTTCTATTTGTGGAGTTGGATACACAGCACTGGAAGAATCTGAATATGATTTAAAGTTTTGATTGGTAAGCACAGTAATAGGATAATTTTTCTCATGATGGCTTATCTAGTGATCAAAAAGACTTAAAACTGTTAATAAACTTCCCCTTTTACATTAATTTAAGGGAAATGACTGAATAGAGAGGACAACTAAAATTCTAGGACATTTGTGTTAGAATATTTGTATACATTTATTTTTAAATATATTAAATGTATTCTCTATTTAACATAAAATGAAAGACTACTAGGCTATAAATCTAAATCATTAGGATTTTTATCACTGGAATATTTATGAGGCTCATTTAAATATTCAATTCCTGGTTTTGACTATAAGTCCTATAAACACTGAATTTGGTTGCATACTTTTAAAAAATTTATTCCACCCCCTTCCCTGAATTTTAATGTTAAAAATGTCTAGTTCTTAGCATGATGTTTTGAATTTTTACAAATACTAGTTTCACAAGCTAAATTTGAAGTTCATGATATTTTCTTTAAAAATTATACCGGTAGCAGTGGGTATTTGGTCCAATGGTTAAGTTGCCAGTTAAGAGGCCCACGTTCTGTTTGGCTGTGCCTGGGTTTGTGTCATAGCTAGGTTCTTAATTCCAGCTTCCTGCTAATGTGCACTCCGGGAGGCAGCAGGTTGCAGGGTGTCCGGCGCATAACAAATCTTCCCAGGCAGACGAATCAATTAATTCACAGGCTTTTATTGGGGTTCCGCTCCCGGGCGAGGTTCCACAGCCCCAACAGAGCAACAGAGCCGGGGGGGGGGGGGGGGGGGGGGGGGTGTGTCTCGCGTCAGAGATTGGGAGGGCTCCTTTTGTAGATTCAGGGCATGGGTATTAAAGGTTGAGGCGGGTCTGATCCTCATTGGTTGACCTTTAGGCACCCGCAGGGACCTTGACAAGGACTTTTCTTCCCCGGAAGTACAGGTAGGAACTTTCCATTCCCGGAAGTATAGGCCTTCCTTCCATGCGGATCCCAAAGCTACCACAGGTGATGGCTCAGGTAGCTGGGACCCCACCACCCACAGAGCAGACTTGATTAGTCTCCTGGTTCCTGACTTTGGGAAGTGAATCGGTGGATGGCAAATCTCCGTTCGCCTATCTTCCTACCTCTCATAAACAAAACTAAAACCAAAACAAAATGCTATCAGAAAAATACAGAAATATTAGTATGCTGCCTTTAGGAAATAAAATGCCAACTCTTCCTTGCTTTATTTGTGTTTTTTGCTTTTTGTTGCTTAAGAGCAGTACTTTTTCTTCGTGATTCAGTCCTGCTTTTTTTTCTATAACTGATTCTGATGGTGTGCTCATGGATATAAAAATTAATTCAGTCCTTTGGAACTTAAAAATCATGTGATAAAAGTCATTTTTTATGGTGTGGTGGTGGATAAAGCACTTTAGTGTCTTTTTCCCTTTAATATCTTCTCCGGAAGTATGCCGAAACTTTAAAATAGTTTGTTCTGGGTGAACTGATTTCCCTTTTCTATCTACAGTAAAACAAGTTATTTAAATCCTTTAATACACACATTAGTTCTAAATTAGCGAGGACTGTGTTAATGAATGGTAGCATTTGAATCATGAAATAATGGAAATCAAATTGAAAACACTCTTTGCAGTAAGCAAATCATCCCATCCCCTTACACTGGGTTACGTGTACAGCACACACAGGGCAAAGCACCCCGCGGTTAGAATTGCTGGTTTCTAATCATTCGGTAGCTGGCTGGTGGCCTTTAAAGCTGCAAAATGTTTACAATAGGCTGTGGTCTAAGTCCACCTTCTGGAGTTGCGAATCATTTTGCAAGCTGGACGCCTAAGCCTGAAGCGAGAGACTTCGGCAAGGCTTCTTTCTGCCTGGGTATAGGATGGCACATGCGCCATTCTCCGTGTCTCCTCGGGTCCCACTGTGCCTCCCAGTGCTCTGCAGAGACCTGGCTGAGAGCCCAGGAGGATATGTGAACAGAGCAGCCCACCCAGAGCGGTCCCAGCAGTGCCACCAGCTCCCCACCCTCCTCTCTCCAAGCCTCAAGGGCGATGCTACAACAGCACTAAGCACCTTACGGAGTAGTTTGGTCGAAGAAAGGAGATCCTGCGAGAAGGTCTGGCTATAAAGGGAGAACGCTTTGTCCTGTTTAGCCCCTCTCTTCCCCTCCTTAGGCAAGCTCTGCTTAGTACAGCAGTGCTGCAGCTTCAGAAACACCAAAGTGCAAAAGACTGGTGGTGCTCTGGCAGCCTGAGGAAAAAAAAAAAAAACACCAAAAACCCTTGCATTTAAAAAGTGGATTAGCTGAGGGGAAGGACTTTATAAACTATGGAAACTTTTTTCTTTTCGTGCTTGGCGAACAAAACTCCCTGATCACTTTACCCCCACCATTTAAACCAGGCCTTCCGAGGAAGGGGACATTTACAAAGCACGTTTAACTAAAGGAACTCGAGTGCTTACTATGGAACTAGTCCAGTCCCCTGGGCACCCAGCGGGCTCTAAGCTCATGGCGATCTCGGCCGTCGTCCTGTGGGAATGGCCCTTGCTAGAGAGAAGGGGGTCATGGTGAGACCCAAAAGCTGGGGAGTGCCCAGAAAGCACGTTTTCATCCCCTCCTGTCCCTTGTCCGCTCACTGCCGGGGTCGAGGGCCTGGCGCTGTGGCTGCTGCAGGGCGTCCGCGAGGATCGGGTTCCTCCCCTAGGCCGGGCAACCCTTCCACCCCGCGGCCCCGCAGCAGGACCCCGGACCGCGGAGAAAGCCCCCTGCTCTGCCCCCCACCCCGAAACTGCCGCGAGCCGAGAGGAGGGCGGGCGGAGGCCTCTGCGGTTTCCGGGAGGCCGGGGTGGCGCCCCGCAGCCCAGCTCCGAAGGGGGCTTTCCGGGTTCCACGCGCCCGGAGGGGGCGGGCCGGGCCCCTCCCACCTGCGGCCGCGCGAGGCGGGGCCCGGCCGGGACAGCCCCCGGCAGGGCGGGGCCTCAGGAGGCGGGGCCGCGCCTGGAGCCGGGCGGGCAGGCGGCGGCGGGAGGGGCCCGGACGGCAGGCTGGCTGGTGGAGCGGCGGCCGCAGCTGCAGCAGGACGGCCCGCCGGCGGCTCGGGGCCGCGCGCCGGGAACCTCGCGGGGCGGGCGGGCGCGGCACCCGCTGCGTGGCCGCCTGCGCCCCGGGACCAGCAGCATGAGCAGCGGCTACAGCAGCCTGGAGGAGGACGCCGAGGACTTCTTCTTCACCGCCAGGACCTCCTTCTTCCGGAGAGCGCCGCAGGGCAAGCCCCGCGCGGGCCAGCAAGTGAGTGGCTTGCGCGGCGGGCGCTGCAGACGGCGCCCCCAGCTCCTACTCCACGTGTCTCCGGCGGGGCGCGCGGCGGATGCTCGCCGGGAAGGAGGGGGGGTGGCGAAGACGCGGCCCCTGCTTTGGGGGGCGCGAGGGTCTCGGGGTCATGCTGGGAGCCTGTGCTGCCTGTGGGCGTGGGTCGCCCGAGGCCGGGGCAGGATAAGGAAGCGGGCGAGGCCGAGGGCCGGCTGCTGCTGCCGCCGCCTTCCGCGCCAGATGGCCCCGCCTGGGGTTCCGAGAGCCGGGAGGGGTCCCCCTTCGCGCCCCGGCCGGGTCAGCGGTCCGGTCCCCTCGCAGAGGCTCCCTGATGGTCCGCCCCGTGGCCTGTGCCCTCCCCCCCGGGTGGCTTGGGAGAACCTTGTGGTCGCCTGAGGTGGCCGCGGTGACCTGGCCCCCGCCTCCTCCGGGTCCGGGCACGCTGGTGGGGGAGGGGGCCAGGGCCTGAGGGCGCCGGCCCGCTGTCGGTTGCGGGATTGGAGGGTGTGCGTTTCCTGTAAAGTCAAGTTTATAGGTGTCTCGACTGTTTGGCAAACAAACTGTGGCGCTAGGTAAATCGTCGAGGGCACGGCGAAGCTTTTGGCCGGTTTCTTCCTTTTTTGGAGGAAGCGCGCCGTGGGAAGCCTGACTTGGGAAGCGAGGGGAGGGGAACTTGTGCCAGTTTGGCCGCCGTGTGCGCGGGAGGCCTTCCCGCAGCGGGGCGCTTCGGCGGGACCTGGCCAGTGTGGCGCTCCGATCCGCCTTTGCTGCTCTTGGTCGACTGGGTAGAAGCAGGAAAAATTGCTCAGGGGCCCGAGGATGAGGTGTGTGTGTGTGTGTGTGTGTGTGTGTGTGTGTGTGTGTGTGTGTTTGGTGGGGGTGGAGTAGGGCGAGGGGATGGGGGGGGTAGTCCTGGCCAGACTTTTAAAAGTTTATTTAACGACTTTGTGAGGTCAGATTTCCTTCCAAGATCGGGAAGTTCTAGTCTTTGCGGCGGCTTAAATGCCAGATCCGAAGCCGGAGGGGAGGAGAGAGGGGCTCGGGGGAGGGCCAGCGTGCAGCCGAGTGCCCTGAGTGCCCTCATTCAGCGGCGACACTTAATCCCGGGGCGCCCTTGTCGCCTGTCCCGCGTCTATTGTTCCTCCCTGGACGCTGAGTGACCTCTTTTCACTAGGGCGCGTGCTACTGACACGAGTTTGGAAGTCAGAAGTAACCCCCCCCCCTCCGCGCGCGCTCCCATCTCCTTGCGACTGCTTGGGCTTTTTCACTTTTTTTTTTTTAAACCCCCTTGGCCTCCTCTTTCTTTCCCTTCTCCGCTTGCTGTTTTCTGTTTCCACTTAGTTGCTGTGACCGTTTGACGTGTCGCAAGGAGCTGGTCGTGCCCCAGGAAACGAACTGGGTTCTTGGGTTCTCCAGGCCTGGATCCCCCCCTCCCAAGGGCTGAGAAATATTTCCGTGGCATGGCGTGAAAATCCCCTGGTGCTTTAAAAAGCAAGGACAGCATCTCCCCTAGGTTTATACACGCAAAGCGTTTCTGTATTCATACGGTGCTGCTCATTTAGTATGCAGTGTGACATGTATTGTGAAAGATTGTGCTGCAGATCAAGACAGCAAGACAGTTTATTGCTTGAAGAGCTTGATATGGGTATCCCGAGGCTTTATTGCCTGCATCTGTTCGCTGCCATAACCCGTGGGAGGTACTGAGTGAGGTGTAGGCTCCCAGGCCAGGAGGGGAAGGTGTTCTGACTCTGAACAGAACAGTGGGCGGCTTGGTTTGTTGATAGACGTGACTTTTAAATTCCTGGGAAGATTTTCAAAGTAAGGAAGTAAAATGTACGGAGCAAAGCATTTTTTTTTATTATTTATTTTTATCCTTTCTTCCTTTTCCAGGAATTACAGAACACTTTACAGATTTGCTTGTCATCCTTGCCCAGGGACCATGCTAATCATCTCTGGATCATTCCTGTTTTATTTAGTGTATGCACTGCAAAGCACTCATTAACGTAGAACATTGCTATCACCTAGGGCTACATAAGCTGTTCTCATTTTATTGGGCTGATTTTTCCAAGAAGATCTAGCATACTGTGTGGTAGTGAGATTATCTTTTCTCAAGAAATGCAAAGAGAGGTGTGGCTTAAGGATGTATTATTGCTGGTAGTGATTTTTTTCCCTGATGTTGTACCACTTGGTGGTTTCTAGAAGTCTTGAAAACACCCAGGGAGATCAAGGTGTTTGTGGTAAACGCAGGATGGGGAGAAGGGGTGTGTGTGTGTGTGTGTGTGGTAGTGGGGGAATTTCTTTCTTCTCTTGCCAGGCAAGGGAATGTAGCCCAACTGCTCTGCATCCTGCATAATAACAAAGGGGAAAAATGTTACCGTTTCTGTTTCTTGTTTTTTACCTTGTTCTCTTAACAAGAAAGAAAGGAGGAAAAGGGAACCAACACATGGCCTTGTTTTCGTGTCCTGGTCTTCGCTGTGTCCCAGGGCTTGGGCTCTACCTGCCACCCAAAGGTCGCTGCATGAGTCATAATTGAATGAGCAAATGCCTTCTTGGTTGATGCTGATTGAGACTTGACTGCTTTCAAATGTATGGGATCACGTGATTTTCCGGGCTCGCTCTGGAGCATTAACTTAATGCAAGGTAAGGTTTTGAAGTGATAGCATAAAGGACCACACGGAGAGAGCAGGAGGCCTGGAAGTTAGGTTTTTCTGACTCAGATTCCAATCTTTTTTTTTTTTTAATGACCTCTCAGCTATTAAAAATCATTTAAAAGTTCCATTTTCCCTTTGCAAGTATGAACATTTACCCTCTCGGTATAGGAATTTCTTCGGGGTTTGCTCTCTTCCCCAGTGTATGTCATCGTTACAGTGTTTCTAATTCGTGTCTCTGGGTTTGCTCTGCTTCAAATTATCCACCTAATTGTTGATTTAAACACAGCCAGAAATGTAGATAGTTCATAATTTGCTTTTTCTGGTTTCCCAATAAAATCAAGCTGCCTATGAATACAGGACACGTTCCGATTTCCAAACAGTAGGAAGGATCTAAAGTTATTAACACAGACTGTTAGGGCGTGGCTTCCCTCCCAGCTCAGGTGATCACCTGATTCCTGAACCTTTGGTGGTTAATAGAATTAAGAAAATGAGAGTCAGGCGTTGTGGCACAGAGGTAAGCTGCTGCTTGTGACTCCAGCATCGCGTATTGTCCCATGTTGAGTGCTGCTTTGCTTCTGATCCAGCTCCCTGCTAAGGCACCTGGGAAAGCAGGCCCAGCCCCAGCTGTTGTGGCCAGCTGGGGAGTGAAGCAGTGGATGGAAGATCTCTAAGAGATGGAACATCTGTCTATGTTACGCTGCCATTCAAATAAACAAATTTAAAAAAAAGTTAAAAAAAATTTTTTTAATTGAAAAGCAGAGAGGGAGAGAAGAGTTTCCATTTGCTGGTTCACTCCCTAGTTGGCTACAGCATCAAGGTTGGGCCAAGCCAAAGGCAGGAGCTTGGAATTCCATTCAGGTCTCACTTGTGGGTGGCAGGGGATCATGTACTTGGGCTACTTTCTGCTGCCTTCTCAGGCATACTGGCAGGGGTCTGGATTGGAAGTGGAGCAGCTGGAACTTGAACCCATGCTCATTGGGATACCGGCATCTCAAGCAGCGATGTGCCACGATGCTGGCCCTGTAAAAATAAAGCTTTAAGAACAAAAAGAAAATGAGAGACTTTTTTGTTTTGGAAGTAGAATAGTCAAGAAGTCTTGAGCAATTTGATATTGATTTCTGACCACCTGTACTTTCTAAAAAGCTACAATGCTAAAGAATTATTTATAAAGCAAGCCTGTCGATTCCACATAGCAGGCCTCATGTTTGTCCTTTGTGTTTTCTTGTTATCATTTGTTTTTTTTTAAAGATTTATTTATTGGTTTGGAAGGCAGAGTTACAAAGAGAACAAGAGATAGAGCTCTTCCATCTGCTGATTCACTCCCCAAATGGCTGCAATGGCCAAGGCTGGGTGGAAGCCAGGAGCTTCATCTGGGTCTCCCATTTGGGTGCAGGGGTCCAAGCACTTGTGCCATCTTCTGCTGCTTTTCCAGGTGCATTAGTGGGGAGCTGGATCAGAAGTAGAGCAGCCGGGATTCAAACTGCTGCCCATATGGGATGCTGGTGTCACAGGCAGTGCCTTAAACCACTGCGCTGCAATGCCTACATTCAAGTGTTTGTGTGGCTTTTGATTTGGTTGTATCTTGTTAGATTCGGCAGTAATGAACTGTACTCTCCTATAAGTGTTTGCACTGGAACTTATGGAGGCAGATTATAAGGCCATAAAGAATAGCAGTTTATTATATCAAAGATATTTTGGTGATATCAACTTTTTTTAAAGATTTATTTATTTTTTGGCCGGCGCCGTGGCTCAATAGGCTAATCCTCCGCCTTGCAGCGCCGGCACACTGGGTTCTAGTCCCGGTTGGGGCGCCGGATTCTGTCCCAGTTGCCCCTCTTCCAGGCCAGCTCTCTGCTGTGGCCAGGGAACGCAGTGTAGGATGGCCCAGGTGCTTGGGCCCTGTACCCCATGGGAGACCAGGAGAAGCACCCGGCTCCTGCCATCGGATCAGTGCGGTGCGCCGGCCGCGGTGCGCCGGCCGCAGCGCGCCAGCCGTGGCGGCCATTGGAGGGTGAACCAACGGCAAAAGGAAGACCTTTCTCTCAGTCTCTCTGTCTCTCTCTCTCTCTCTCACTGTCCACTCTGCCTGTCAAAAAAAAAAAAAAGATTTATTTATTCGAAAGAGTTACACACACACACACACACACACACACACACACACACTGGTTCACTCCTCAAAGACCACAATGGCCAGAGCTGAGCTTATCCAAAGCCAGGAGCTTCTTCTGGGTCTCCTACATGGGTGCAGGGGCCCAAGGACTTGGGCCATCTTCTGATTTCCCAGGCCATAGCAGGGAGCTGGATCCGAAGTGGTGCAGCTAGAACTCAAACCGGTGCCCATATGGGATGCCGGCACTGCGGGCGGCAGCTTTATCCGCTATGCCACAGTGCCAGCTCCAATGACACAGTATTAATCCGTTGGAATTTTGTGTTTGTGTGAGCAGAACTCACAAGGGCCTATTCCTTTAACTGACTTCCCTGAGAAAATTAGTCGCCAGTCTTCTGCAACCTCATACATATGCAGTCTGCTCTTCACTTCATTTCTTCTTCTGGCTAACTTGCAAAATTAGAATTATTTGGGAAGCAGTGACACAAAACATTTATGAGAAGAACGGCTAAAAATATCCAATAATGTGGTTATTCTTTTTAGATTTCCTTTGGCAGTCAGTGCCTGTCGTCCTGTTAACATTCTTTCTCTGAGAGGAGCGAGCCTGGCCGGATGCGCTCTGCTGTGGCCTGATCCCCAGCTCTTCCTTAGCCCAGAGCATCAGCCCTTGCGCCCCCACCTCCCCAGCCCGTTAGCTGCCTCCTGACAAGGCACCTGTTAGAGACTCATTTGTTCCAAGGCCACTGGCGAGCAGTCTCTGTTCAGAAGGAATGGTGAAAGAGAGTAGGCCCAGGATAGATGCATGCAGAGGCGCTTCTGAGACACAGCCTGGCTGGCTCATTGACTCGGCCTGTGCGCATCCCCACCTCATTGGAGAGGTGCACGTGGGCTGCTTTACAGAGTTCGTGGAACATGGAGTTGAAACATGTCTATTTTGGTGCAAAATGATTGAAATCCAGGCATATTTTTTTCATTATATACATTTTCCATGAGCTTTTTGAGGACCTCACATTTGCATGGATCTAAAGTAATTTTTTTGTCCCCCCCCCAAAAAAAAAAACCTTTTAAATTTATTTTCTATGAACTTTTTGAAGAACTCTTGTACATATCCTAGGAGTTTTATCCTTTTTTTCCCTTAATGAAAATGTTATTTGAAGGCAGGGAGGGAGAAAGGGGAAGGGGAAGGGGAGAGGGAGAAGCTTCTCTCCAAATGCCTGTAACAGCCAGGAGCCCCATGTGGGTGGCAGGGACTCCATGTGCATTAGCAGGAAGCTGGACTTTGGAGTGGAGCTGGTTCTCTGATATGGAATGTGGGCATCTTTACTTTTTTACTTGCTGTGCCAAATGGTGCCCCAGAAATTTTCTTTTAAACATTTTGAAATTTATTCTTAGGAGGCCAGCACCGCGGCTCACTAGGCTAATCCTCCGCCTAGCGGCGCCGGCACACCGGGTTCTAGTCCCGGTCGGGGCTCCGGATTCTGTCCCGGTTGCCCCTCTTCCAGGCCAGCTCTCTGCTGTGGCCAGGGAGTGCAGTGGAGGATGGCCCAGGTGCTTGGGCCCTGCACCCCATGGGAGACCAGGAAAAGCACCTAGCTCCTGGCTCCTGCCATCGGATCAGCGCGGTGTGCCGGCCGCAGCGCGCCGGCCGCGGCGGCCATTGGAGGGTGAACCAACGGCAAAGGAAGTCCTTTCTCTCTGTCTCTCTCTCTCACTGTCCACTCTGCCTGTCAAAAATAAAAAAAAAAATAAATAAAAAAAAAAAAAGAAATTTATTCTTAGGACTAAACAAGCATTGCCTGTTACCAGACCCCTCTGATGTGAACAGGCTTTAAATAGCAGCATGTACCTAGCACGGTGGTCATTTAGCCTTCTCTCAGCTGCCTTTCACAATCCCAGTTATTCCCCAGCTCAGAGCTGAGGTCTGGAGTTGCTGCCTGCCATTCTTCTTCATGTGTCAGCTTGATTGTCATCTTCACAGAGAATTCTTCCAGAACCACCCATCTAAAAAGGCACCCCGCCCCTCTAAAAGCCCTCCTCCCCCGTTCGTTCCCTTCATAGCAGTATTATAATTTTACAGTGCGTAAGTTGATTTACTTGAAAGGCAGACAAACAGAGCAAGAGATAGGTAGACAGAAAGACACAGAGAGAAAGAGCCAGAGAGATCTTCCATCTGCTGGTTCACTGCCCAAATGCCTGTAACAGCTCAGGCTGGGCCAGGCTGAAGCCAGGAGCCAAGAATTCCTTCTGGGTCTCCCCTGTGGGTGGCAGGGACTGGAATGGTTTCCTTTTCTTTCTTAAATTTTTTAAAACATCTATTTTAATTATTTGAAAGGCAGAGTTAGGGAGAGAGAGATCTCCATCTGCTGGTTCGTACCCCAGATGGCTCCAACAGCCAGGGCTGGGCCAGGCCAAAGCCAGGATCCAGGAGCTTCATCTGGGTCTCCCACGTGGGTGCAGGACCCAAGGACTTGGTCATTTGCTGCTGCTTTCCCAGGTGTATTAGTCGAGAGCTAGATTGGAAATGGACTAGCTGGGATTTGAACCGATGCCTTTATGGGATACTGGCATCACAGGTGGTGGCTTATTGCGTTACGCCACAATGTGAGCCCCTTTTTTGTTTTATTTTTTTAAATATTTATTTATTTGAAAGAGTTACAGAGAGAGGTAGAGACAGAGAGAGAGGTCTTCCATCTACTGGTTCATTACCCAGATGGTTGGAGCTGAGCTGATCTGAAACCAGGAACCTCTTCTGGGTTTCCCATGTAGGTGCAGGGGCCCAAGGACCTGGGCCATCTTCTACTGCTTTCCCAGGCCATAGCAGAGAGTGAGATTGGAAGTGGAGCAGCCAGGATTTGAACTGGCACCCATATGGGATGCCAGCACTGCAGGTGGTGGCTTAACCTGCTATGCCACAGCACCAGCCTCCCCCCCCTCCCCCGCCAAGAAACCTTTTATTTAAGGAATACAAAATTCATGCATTTCATAAATACAAATTTAGGAATTTAGTGATTCTTCCCACCGTACCCTCCCTCCCACCTACGCTCCCACCCCTCTTCCTCCTCCCTCTCCTATTCCCAGTCTTATTTTTTTTACTAAGATCTATTTTCAGTTAACTTTATACACAGAAGATTAACTCTATACTAAGAGTTCAACAAATTGTGAACAAAATAAACTGTTCCTTAACAATTGAGATAAGGACTGGTCAAAGTCATTGCATCTCGAAGTTGATTTCGCTTTTTTTTTTTAAGCATTCTTTTTTTTTTTTTTTTGAGAAACTGACTTAAATTTAAAGAGCCCAAGCACTTAGACATAACTAAAAATCATGAGACACAAGAATATCCTTCACATAATACACTAAAACAAAGTAAATCTTTGAGCACAAGATTTATTATTAACTCTCAAATACAACTCTTTGAGGACAGAGGTCCTGCTTGGGAAGTTAGTGCACAGTGACTCCTGTTGTTAATTTAACAGTTAACTCTTGTGTATGACATCAGTGATCACCCGAGGCTCTTGACATGAGCTGCCTAGGCTATGGAAGCCTTTTGAATCCACAGACTCCGTCAGTATTTAGACAAGACCATACACAAAGTGGAAGTTTGTTAGTTCTCTTTTATAAACAAATATATACCCCACCAAGTCTTCACAAGGTCTTAGAGGTTGCAGTCGTTTAAAGATGGATGGTATTGGTGGGGTCTGTTATTACTACCTCTGTATTTCCCCTTGTTTTAAGAAATCAGATCATTCATTTATTCAGTCAACAATTTATTGAATGCCAACTTTATGGCTTACACTGTTTGAGGCTCTGGGATAGAGTAGTGAACAAAATAAAGTCCCTATTTACGTATTTATTTGAAAGGTGGAGTAACAGGGAGAGAAGAGACAGAGGCAGAGAGAGTGCATGTGTGCTATCTCCCATCTGCTCTGCAGATGCCTACACCTCCTGGGGCTGGGCCAGGCTGACGTCAGGAGCCAGCAGCACCATCCTGGTCTGTCACTGGGGGGCAAGTACACCGGCCATCCTTTGCTGCCTTTCCCAGTGCGTTAGCGGAGAGCTGGATTGTAAGTGAAGCAACCGGGACTTGAACCTGCCTTGTGATGTCATGTGGGCCTCCCAGGCAGTGGCTCAACCCGCTCTTCCACAGTTCCTGCTTCAGGAATACGTTTGTAAAGAGCTTGCGAAATAGACAAACTATCTAGTTTCCTTTAAAGAGCTTGCTCCTTGTGCGTGTCTAGGGAAACTGAACTTTTTATAGTTTTTCAGAAACACACACCTGTTTGTAAAGTGTGGGAAAACTGTACTTTTTTTTTTTTTTAATAGATTTATTTATTTGAAAGAGAGAAAGAGACAGACAGAGGTCTTCCATCTGCTGGTTCAGTCCCCAACTGGATACTACGGCCGAAGCTATGCTGATCCAAAGCCAGGAGCCAGGAGCTTCTTCCTGGTCTCCCATGCGGGTGCAGGGGCCTAAGGACTTGGACCACCTTCCACTGCTTTCCCAGGCTGTAGCAGAGAGCTGGATTGAAAGCAGCCGGGTCTGGAACCGGTGCCCCTATGGGATGCTAGCACAGGAGGCCACGGCTTTACCTGCTATGCCACTACACTGGCCCCAACTATACTCTATTGAGATTGAATTATATCCCTGTGAAATTGTTCCTTAATGGCCTTTGTGCTAAGATGGAGCATGTTCAGTCAGGACATGAGTGTCTTCTACATCATAAGGGATTGAACATGTGTTAAACAGAGAGTAACTGAGCAGAGCCATCCAAACTGTGGCTAATAATTAACCAAAAAATGAATGATGTTTGGTTTATTTTCCCTTTTTTCCCCCTAGCTTAGTTCTGGTTTGGCAAGTGACTAGTACAAAAGTTTTTGTTAATTTTTTAAAAAAGTCTTATTTATTTGAGAGGTGGAGTTACACACAGAGGGAGTGACAGAGAAAGGTCTTCCACCCGCTGGTTCACTCCCCAAATGGCTGCAACGGCCGGAGTTGAGCTGATCCGAAGCCAGGAGCCAGGAGCTTCTTCCAGGTCTCCTACTCAGGTGCAGGGGCCAAGGACTTGGGCCATCTTCCACTGCTTTCCCAGGCCATATCAGAGAGCTGGGTTGGAAGTGGAAGAGCTGGGACTCTAACCAGCGCCCATATGAGATGCCAGCACTGCAGGTGGTGGCTTTAGCTATGCCACAGTGCCAGCCCCCAACTTGTTAATTTTTTTTTAGCAGAGGGTCAGGTACACTGTAGGAATTTGTCAGAGCCCATAAAAAATGATTAAAATTGGAAACACACGTAAAAATGTGTTTTCCAGTTGGTTCTGAGTTAGCAGTGGCCATTCTGCAGCTGAGCAGTTTCAGTCAGTAGTCCATCCCCACCCAGAATGTGTTGAGGGCAAAATACACACTGGCTTTCAAACACCTAACTATGGTAGAAAGAATAAAAGATACCACACTAATCGATTCGTATTTAGTACTTGCTAAACTGATCCTACTTGAGATGAATTGAGTCAAATGAAATTAATTTTGTCTGTTTTTTTTTCTTTAACATGGCTATTGGAAAACTTTAACTCATGTATGTGGCTTGCGTTCCATTTCTGTTGCACAGTGTTGCTGCTAAAGCAGAGCTAGTGCTTTGCCAGGGGTTCAAAATCCCGTCGTCGGGGTGGCTGCAGCTGGGGAATGGAAGGTAGCAGCCAGGCGTGCTAGAAACATCTTTCTTTTTGAAAAAGAACTTGCCCTCTGGGAGTAGTTTCTTCTCAGCCTATCCCGTGGCAGCATTTAAAGGTTGTGAAACTTGTATGTCTGGGACTTCCCGCTTTTTTTCACCTATGAGCTAATAGGATCAAACTGTCCTAATGGCACTCTAAATGCAAGCCAGCCTTCAGTTTATATAGAGACCGGGGCTCTGTATTTCCCAGGATTAAACAGCAAGCTTAATGCACTCTTTATGGACCGTAATTGCTTACTGCTGCTGCGTGATTCAGTCAGCTAAGAATAATTTACTAATTATGTGTTGCAGCACTCAGTTCTTTTTCCAAATGCGAAACAAAGTGAGATAATTAGGGGAGGAAAAAGGATGAATTTGAGAATTAGACACCAGAAGAAGAGATTTTTTTTCCAGATCTTAAATATAACAGACTTGGAATGTAAGCCACCAAGTGTTCTCTTGAAATTAATGGAGGTTGGGCAATGTGTGCATGTGTGTGTTGCACACATGCGTGTAAGACTGGGGGGGGGCGGTGCTGTGGTACAATGGGTTAAAGCTCTGACCTGCAGCACCGGCATCCCATATAGGCACCAGTTCAAGTCCCAGCTGCTCCACTTCTGATCTAGCTCTCTGCTGCAGCCTGAGAAAGCAGTAGAAGACGGCCTGAGTCCTTGGGCCCCTGAACCCATGTAAGAGACCTGGAGGAGGCTCCTGGCTTCAGTTCAGCTCAGCTCTGGCCATTGCGGTCATTTGGGGAGTGAATCAGCAGATGAAGACCTCTCTCTCTCTGGTTCTACCTCTCTCTGTAACTCTTTCAAATAAATTTAAAAAGGTGGGGGGGAGGGC